CTAGACCCATTAAACCTAAACCTAACCCTAACCCTAAATTGAACCCGAACTCACTGACCCTAAACCTAACCCTAACCCGAACCTCAAACCTAAATCCAAACCTGAACCCGAATCCACTAACCCTAACCATTCTACACTATTAGATTCAAATTAATGGTTAGATTTAAACTAATAGAATAATTAATTAAAGATGTGTGGCCCTCACATTTATTTGATTTCTATACCAAATCTTCTCTAACCCTAACCCTAACCCGAGCCCAAACAACCTAACCCTAACCCTAAATTGAACCCGAACTCACTGACCCTAAACCTAACCCTAACCCGAACCTCAAACCTAAATCCAAACCTGAACCCCTAGACCCATTAAACCTAAACCTAACCCTAACCCTAAATTGAACCCGAACTCACTGACCCTAAACCTAACCCTAACCCGAACCTCAAACCTAAATCCAAACCTGAACCCGAATCCACTAACCCTAACGCGAACCCAAATAATAAAGGGAGGAGGTAGAAGGGAGGATATGAGAAATCTTTGAGAAGTTTAAGTTTGAAAATCAAATAAATGTGGATGCCACATATCTTTAATTTGTTAATCCTACTATTTTAAATCTAACCATTAATTTGAATCTAACGTGTAGAATGTTCATCTTACGTCTCATCCTATCGCTTTTCTACACACACATACAAACTAACAATATATACATGTAGGCGTTTGAAGAGGGGGAGTTACCAAAATTATGGCTTTCATATTGTCTCTGGTTAAAGAAATGTCAGCCATGCCATCCTTCTCATTTAGCGAGAGCAACACATCCACAAAGTTGCTTTCCTCTCCATCATTGCTTGAATTAACCTTATAATGCTTATGTTCGTCTATCACTCTTTCAAGAAACCCGTCTATTTCTCTAGAGCACTTTCTTACTCTTGCATCGAGGCCACTCAATATATCAAGCCAGCCAAGCCAAGGGATGAGATCTCTAACAGGAAATGATCCCGCCAATGTAAGTAACTCCTTCAGCATCTCACCAAAATTATACCCTTCTCCTTCCTCTCCTAAATCTTTCCTTCCCATGACCACTCTACATACAATATTATTGGTAAGATTAACAATCATCTCAGTCAAATTCACCGAGCCATTGCAAGATGCACGGATTTTCTCGACTATAAGACATACCTCTTCTTCCCTCACTAATCGAAACGACTGGACCCTCTTGTGGCTCAACAGGTGAAGAACACTTATCATTCGAAGTTGCCTCCAATACTCACTGTAGGGTGAAAAGGCAACATCACAACCATAGAAAAGCCTTTTGGTCATGCTTGAAGGTGGTCTACTTGCACAAATTTGATCGTGCGTTTTCATTATCTCGTAGGCAATCTCTGCTGATGATACTACAATGGCGGGTGGCGGGACTTCCGCCTAAGTGCAGAAGCATTATTGGCCCATACTTCTCTGAGAGAGATTGCAAGGAACGATGAGCTAGAGAGCCTAGTTGGTGGAGGTTGCCTATGATAGGCAATCTCGGTGGAGAAGGAGGCAACTTCAACATATCTTTCTTCTTGAAGAGCTTGAAGAAGAGGAGGAAGAAGGTAAACATGACGGCAATTGTTGCCAGAAAGGAATTAGGCCATTGCTGCGATGTAAAAACTACAGTCTTCATCTCGCAGCAATTAGTATAATGTCTGTGGCTGCGCTAATATTAGTTTGGATACGCTTTTAAGAACGATTGATGGTGGTTGCAAATTTGGACTTGTCCAAATGGTCCCTTAAGTAGAGTAAAAAAAAATTGCCTTCTTTTTCCTAGAATCTTTCAAAATTACTTAATTTTGTGTCGTTAGGTTAGGCACTTGGCGATCTATATATTAAGATAAGAAGAAGAGACCAAGGTTGGTCTAATGTCATGCTCAAAGTTCTAGTGTGGATTATATATGATTGGTCCGAGGAGATATTTTCTTGGATTTGATGTTGGAAATGAGAACAACTGGAGCTGGAGATAGACAATGACCCAAAACTCTACACTTCATCTAAGTACACTGTTTGTAAACAATTTCAACCTAGAGCAAGTCTCTCTCCATTCTTTTATTGATTAATGCTTCGAGACACTTATCACCTTTATTTATAGCCTTTTGAGGAATTTATTTTGATTGATTGATTTTTACGAACCTAGTAACATAAATGTAGAAATGGCGAAAACGTCGACGAAGAACCGGAAAAACCAAGCAGGGAACAGTTTGGAGGTTTCTCGGTCAACCGCGGCAACATGTGAGGTCAACCGGAAACATGTACGCCAGGGTAGGTTCTGGAGTTATGGTCGGTCGACCGCGAGGTTAGGTCCGGTCGACCGTGAACCCTGTAAGAGCTTTTTGGTTTCTGTCGTTGCATGCGGTCGACCGCGACGAAAGCTGCGGTCGACTGCCAGTCGGGTTTTAAGTTGGGTTTGGTTTTCAGACCCGTTTCGTTATGAGCTGATATATAACCCTAAACCTAATTAATTAGGGTTAATTAAGGACGACTTTGAGTAGCTTTTGAGAGAGTTTTGTGCATCCTTTGAGGAAGAATTTGTGAGAGATTTTGATAGCTTTGTTTGAGAGTTTTTGGTGAGATTGTAAACTCTATTTGTATTCTCTTTATCTCTAATAGTAACCCCCCCTCCTTGCCTCGTGGACGTAGGCAACTTGCCGAACCACGTAAATACTGTGTCTTGCATTGTTTTGTGCTTATTTACTTATTGGTTGTGATCTATCTCGTTCTTGTTCGTGCTCTTTCGTGAGTTTCGAGTTCCGGTACGCATAACAATTGTTTTTAGAGCTACAGGTTTGGCTTGGGGCTTGTTCAAAGGATTCGCCGAAGAATTCTTATTTGAAGAGTTAGATCGACAACATGGGTAAAGCAAGCCCATCAGGATTGTTTGCGTCAAAAGTTATTTTATTTGTAGAATCCATTGCACATTTATCGATTACAACAGATCCAAAAGGAGTTAATCTTTTTATAAGATCTCTCGCTTACACAAATAAAACCAAAATTATAACTTCCTTGAAACACGCAGAGAATGTTTATCACCCGCTGCTTGCGTAGGATCTTTACCTGTGCTGGGGACGCGTTAGTCCATGGACCGTCGCGGATCAGATCCGGTTGACAGAAAAGTGAATTAATGCTCTTGCTTCACAAAGAAAGTAATCACAGAAGTGATAATCTCGACCAAGCGAGATTACGACTCTTCTCGATATCAAAACAAAGTTTGATCCGGAGGAAAGGGGGAACGGGCCTCAGATCCTTCGAAAAGCTTCCTCTTTATGCTAAAGTTCGCCAAGATCAGCTAGCCCTTCTCTGAAATTCATGCTCCACTCTTCTGTTTGATAGCACATCGCCCTCTGATTTTAGATATGGAGAAATGAGCTCCTAGACTTGTATTTATAAGGCTTTGGATGCAGGGTATTTGGATAAGAACAAAAGATATGGCATTATCTTTAGTTGGCAATGACCTAATCACGTTGTTTAATGATGATATCTAAGCAGTTGGAAGGCTTCTGGAACAAACAAATCCCGAGAAAACATCAAAACATGTGATTTGGGAAGTCAACGTGTGCGGCAGGTCCTGCCGCCACTACGCGGGTCACTAATTAGTGACCCGCTTACGTGCGGGTTACCTCGTGGTGCCCCTGTTCATGCGGCTCACTTCGTGGTGACCCGCACTTGTGCGGGTCACTTCATGGTGACTCGCACTTGAGCCGTTCGCCTCGAGACTTAGCTATTTTTAGGCTTTCCTGGACTTGCATTGTCGTTTCATTGACTTGTACGCTTCGTAGGCTCGTTTTGTGCGCTCATTAGCTTCTCTTCGGCATCGGATGATTCTCCTTAACTTAGGTAATCCCCTTTGACTTGGATGATGACGTTCATCGTCTTCGCTTAGTGTCGAACTACGTGTGGGAACCCATAGGTATTTTTTGACGCCTACAGATACTACCCCCTCCAAAGTGTTTCAGTCACATTCTTTTATAGAGGTGCCTGGAATACTTTGGATATGATACGCCCAACCTTCAACTCTTGGATTTTTTTAGCTTTCAGTCCATTCAGTATTTTATCGAATAGCTAAAATTCTTTCGGTACTGCGTTTATCATTGGACCGTTGTCGAAATCTTGAATTGGGACTGGTATGTTGATGTCTGAATTAGCTCGTGTCGTTGAATCAACTTTAAATTGATCAACTTTGTTAGGAATTTGTATCTGAATACGATCGAACTCTCTGGAATATATATATTTTTATTTATCTCAACAGTCATCCTGAGCCTTATTTTGGCGGAATCATCGACGCGTTGATCGACGTTAACACAGTTTATACTCATATGTCAACTGGAGTCTACACATTTTAGGTTCTTAAGGCGTTAACATAGCTTCTCGATATTTTTGTTTTTAGATGGTGAATTACCATAACAGTTTCTAAAATAAGTAGGACCTTTGTAGTTTTTTTATATCAAATACGTAAATAATTTTGTGGTATTTGATAAGCTATATTACATCTCATATGCTTACTGGAATTTTTTCCCCCTATTAACATTTGATTTTTTTGTATCCAAGATAAGCCTTGGCCATAATTCAAATGCTTTTTAGTAATAGCCATAAATTCAATTGTGTCAGTTACTTCAGTGACATGTGAATGTACTATCTCAAAGATAAGATTGAAGTTATATGATGAGCAAAATCATGTAATTAGAGCATCATCCAGGTAAATAAAAGTCTGCAAATTATTATTAGATTTTCACTTTGCAGAATATATGAAATGCTTCTGCCAAATCGTAATCAATGCAAATATTTATGTGGGGCAAGTTGTTCTGTGGTAAGGTACCAAGGGTCCTTTTTCCATAATTAGCTCATATATACATCAAAATCACATTGGCATGTAGGGGGTACTTGTTTGTTGGATAAGAGTGAGTTGAAGTCCCAAAATAGAGCATTTTTAACCATTTGATATTTTGTTTCCATTAGAGTAAGTATAAAACAAGAGAAGTGATTTTCACCAAATAGGAGAAAGAACATTTCATTTTAAAAATTCGCTTTCTCCAAAAACCCTAAAATAAAAAAGAAAGAAAAACAATTAATACAAAGAAAATAAAAGTTGCTACAAATACCTATCCTTTTCGTCCTACAGAAAACAAACAAAATTTTGCAGTTTCATCCTCTCTAGCTCTTAGCATGATTTGACCTCGTAGCTTATAATAGAAACTAAAAAATATCCAATAAAAGATTGCATATTGAGTCCAACTTCCTCAATTCATTGCATTGGTAGCGACAATCAAAGGGTAGGTAGCAGTAGCTATACATCACCAGGACACTCATACAAAAACATGTGATGTCTTCTGATGCTGCACGCAAGTGAACAGAAAACATGTAATAATTTTTCTGTACAAGACTCTGTTAGTCTAAAATGTAGACCCAAAATTGAAGCCGAAGCCGGAATGAAAACGAGGAAGAAAATCAAGAAAAACAGGAGGAGGCCTGCACGGTCGACCGTGGCGGTCGACAGCGAACGTGCACAGAAGCTGACAAAAGGCTGGAGCTGAAGGCAGCCGACCACGACGGTCGACCGCGGCAACCCTGTAGGGATTTTTGTTCTCGGGAATCAGTTCTGTCGACCGTGACGGTCGATCGCGCTAACACTGTAATGTTTTCTTTTCTCGGGAAAGTGATTCGGTCGACCGCCGCGGTCGATCGCGATACCTGTGCGGTCGACCGTCGGTTTCCTAAACTGTTTTGGATTCTGTTTCTTCCAGGACTCTATATATACCTAAATGTTTTTAGGGCTTGGATGTACACGAAAAAAGAGAGATTTTAACAGTAGAAAAAGAGAGAATCTCAGAGAGATAAAACCCTAGTTTGAGGACTTGTATTTCTTCTTTAATTAATCAAAAGAATTGTGTGGTGTGGCTCCCGAGGACGTAGGCACGTTGCCGCTTGTATTTCTTCTTTAATTAATCAAAAGAATTGTGTGGTGTGGCTCCCGAGGACGTAGGCACGTTGCCGAACCTCGTTAAATCTGGTGTGGTGTGGCTCCCGAGGACGTAGGCACGTTGCCGAACCTCGTTAAATCTGTGTGTTCGTCTCCTTTTTTATTTCTGCAAGTTTTTAATCTTTATTTAAGGTGAATTTTCCTACTTTCCTACTTTCAACACAAGGTCCGGAAGGGCAAGTGTTCGATTTGATTGTTTCGAATCCCTAATAACTGGTATCAGAGCTTTGTTCAGTAATTTGTGTGAAAGCCATGGCAGAGGAAATCAAATCTAAGATCGAGAAGTTTGACAGCTCAGACTTTACCTACTGGAAGTCGTACATGAAGG